CTAGCAAATGGAATTCAGGTACAGTCCTGAATTGAAAAGTGCTCCAAATGAATTGTGTAACTAGAGGTGTTACTAGTGATGGACGATGGCATGTGTGCTATTTTTTCAAGGCTGAAACAAGCCCCCCACTGGCTCAGAGAAACAAGGATCTTTTGCAGTGGGAAAATTGTTTCCTACATTCTTACTGCCATGTCATTCAGACCTTACAGTATTGCCAGAAAAGGTTATTTTTAAGGTATCTTGATAGAGAGTCAGAATAGCAGTTGAGCATGATCTTTAAGAACTGCCAGTAGCTGTGAGCTTGTTTGGAGCCTAAAACCAATAAAAATTAGCCTGAGTTGTAAAAGATGGGGGGAAAATTAGAGCAATTAAACTAGCTCTTAAAACAGTTTGCCTAAAGCCTAGAAATGCCTGTTTTCAGAGTGATCCTTATCAGTTTAATAAAATCCAGCATTATCTCAGTTTCCATAAATTCCTGAAGAGTATCTACCAGCAGTCAGCCTCCTGCAAGAGGAAAAGCTGGCAAAGCATCTCTATGCTTCGGGGAACAAATCCTAGGAAGCACACCTGTACTGCTTTCCTCAGCCAGATCTTTCATCTTCTCTATTCCTGGCACTTCAGCTGTTTTCCTGTGCAAGTGCCTTGTGTTCACACACAAGTAGAGACACTTCTCTCCTCTGTGCAGTCCTGTGAAGATATCCCATCCCTGCACACTTCCTGCAGTAGCTGTGGTCCTAGCTTTTGACCTCAACACTCGTGCTTTCCTGAATGGAAAAAAACTGGCTCTATCTCCCTCCTTTGCACACTGGACTTCCTATACACAGGTAGACAATAAAGAAAATGTAAAGATAGAATTAGTGGAGGAGAGTAATTTAATTTGAATCCCACTTATTTTGGGTCTTCACCAAGGGAATCGTGATCCCCTTCAGTCGTCCTAGCAGCATTTATGTTGTGCTGTTACCTCAAAATGGAAGTGCTTTTGGGACAGCACTGCTGTGCAGGAGGACAGTTTTGCATTATCTTCTCCTCTACCAAACAGGGAGTTGAACAAGTGGCCTATTGCTTGTGGTTTTTTTGTTCTGTTTCTTGGTCTGCAGCAACCGATGCGAGCCAAGCACTGCCAGCTGTGCCAGCACTGCGTGCGGCGCTACGACCACCACTGCCCCTGGATTGAGAACTGTGTGGGGGAGAAGAATCATCCCCTCTTCATAGTCTACCTGAGTGTGCAGCTTGTGGTTCTGCTGTGGGGAGGTCACGTCGCCTGGTAAGGCTTGGAGGTGGCACTTCGACCTGTGGGGTTGCTGGCAGTTTTGATTCCCCTAGAGCTCCACTGGACGTGGCAGTGACTGGGTTGGCTTTGTTTCTTCACCCTCTTTTGCGTCCTGAAGATCAGCTCTTCTGAGCCCCCTAATCTGCTGAGGGACAACAGAGCTGATTAGTAGTGGAGCAGAACCTCATAGTTAGGTTGTTCATCTTTGTTTTCAGCTTAAATTAACAGAATGAACTGCAGTGAAAAAAGCTAATTTTGTTTCAGTTGCTGGAACATGATCTTTGTTTACAAAGCAAAGTGCTGGGAGCTCCAGTGGGGTTCCAGCTGTACTCCTGCTCAGAGTTCACTGAAAGGGATTGTCTCTCTCAGCTGTCACGGGAACCAGCATCTTTTAAGATCCTTAGAATCTAAGTCACCACTGGTGCAGTCTCCTAAAAGTTGATAGTGTATTAACTCTCTGTAGTACATAATTACTAGAATTTGACTAGTTATGAGTAAAACTTCAATGTGCCATCAAGCTTGCTTGGCTTATGCAGCTTGTTCTGCATCTGTAACTGTTTGTTTCTCTTTGAATTGAAAGGTCAGGCCTCTCCTTTGAACAGTCATGGGACTGGCTGCAACACAACATCTTCCTCCTCATCTCCTTCCTCCTGATAGTCATATTCAGCACTGTTGTCCTGCTGCTGCTGCTTTCACACCTCTATCTGATCTCCTGCAACACCACCACCTGGGAATTCATGTCCCACCATCGCATCTCCTACCTGCGACACTCCAAGTTGGAGAATCCCTTTGACCAAGGGGTCATCCTCAACCTCTGGAGATTCTTCTGTTCCTCCCACCTCACTGTATGGGAGAAAATCTATTACCACAGGGACAACGAGCTTGTCTAGTGTCAGTAGTACCTACCTGGTGGAGTGCCAACACAGCTGCAGGGGCTGGGTAAAGCTGTGCTAATGCAACTGCTGCTGTTCTCTTGCATGGAACTTCAGTACTTCATGAACTATACAACGTGTTCCATACCTGTTCATCCTGCAAATTACATTTCAAGGATGGTCAGGGTTGTTTTTTATATATGAATAGCACTGTTAAAGGGGAGACACTGGTTCTGGGAATGCCAGCAGACCTGATTTCTGGACTGAGCAAAAGTATCTCTCTAAATGTAGTTTCTTTTGCTAACTGCGTCCACATCTCTCCAGAAAGGATGCAAGAGAAGTGTGAGCATCTATGTTCACCTCTCTTCCCCAAAGTTTCCCTCTCCTTTTACTGCTAGGGAAGAACAGCTATTACAGCCAGAATCAATATAATTCCTGTGGCCTTTCTTCAACATAGTTCTCCTGTGAGAACCACAGCACCTTTTGTCAGTCATGTTTGGCACATAATAGAAATATTTGAGTAAATATTTGGACAGTCAAAAGCAAATTTCATTTTGACCACATGCCCCAACATAATGCTTTGCAGAAAGATTGGAGGCTTAATAGTGTTCATGTGGATAAGAAGCAGCTGTAAGGCACCAAATCCAGCTTTTGAGATAATTAGCCACTACTTTGTGAGGCCCTGACCAGCTTCCTAACAGTTTTTTCTTTAAGTTTATCATCCTGTTAACAGTTCAGAGGCTGTTTTGAATGAAGTCTGCAAAACCATCCATTTTTCTTTGGACAGAAAAGTGATATTTGCCTGCTGAACTATTTCTGAGGATAACGTCACGCTCAGGCCTTTCATGTAGCTTGTGGGGAAAGAACCCATAGCAGAGGTGGGTACTTCTTGCCTCGCTCAAGTGACACTGTTGCTAACACTACTACCTCAACGTTGTAGGAAAATTTTATTAAAGAATACAAAGTTTCAATGCAGAGAGAAGGTTCTAGGTCCTATTTGTTTCCCTGGAGGGTGCTGACAGCTTTCAGGATAGCAGCAAGCTTACCTGTTTTCCATGGCAACAAAAGGTCGCACTTCAAGTTTCCACAAGAAACTAAAAGGAAGTTTGGGGTGACCTAAATTAGCTTTAAAGGCAGGAAAGGCTGCAGAGTGAATTTTAGACCTGACCCTTTTCTGTTTAACCCCCTGTCCCCCCCAAAAGCAGCACCACACCTCAGTTAAAATTATTTTGTGCCTTAACTGCCTTGGCTCAGGAATTAACACCAGCTCAAGAGCACATCTGGCAAGCTGGTAGGATGCACTCAGGGTTTAAATTGGATGAGCACTCATGAAAGGACAGTGTAAGTCACTAATACAGCAGTAGAGTCCAAAAGCAGTTTAAAAACAGCAGAAGGATCCCTTTCTTCACCAATTCCAGAGTTTTTAATCTGTGTCCAGTCTGGCTGGTTCAGGGTAGAAACTCCTATCAGAGGGATAACAGAACACTAGGAGTTGTTTTCATAATACTGGTGGTACCAAACAGAAAGGATTCTGCAGTTTGTTTGTGTCACTGTGGCACCTGCTGAAGTCGGGCTCATCTGCCTCACAGCAATTCCTGCTTCTTGAGGCATTAGTCAAAAATGGTCAGCAGGTGCTACAGTTTTCTTCTGTCTGGTAATTATTTTTTTAAAATGCACTGGGATGGTAATTGACAGTGTTTTTACTATGAACTACACATTAAAATATTAAATATGCCTTTTATGGTTCTTTATTCCTCTCTCTCTGAGACCAAGTTGAGGTTTCACCTCTGCTAACAATCCACTTTACAGAGGCCTTGACCTTAAGAAAAGTCACCAGTCACACTGCAGGGGCCCACAGCAAGCCAACCATTCCTGTTCCAGCAAGGGTGAGGAAAACCTGCATCCTGCTTTAAATGAGCCATTACACTGCAAGGCAGAGCAGAAGGCTGAAGGGGCATTTGTATGCAGGAATTTTCAGAAGCAGTTACACCTGGCTCTGAAAATAGGAAATAGAGGTTCAGTGTGATCATTTCTGGTTTGCACAAGCATAACTCTTGCCACTCTGAATTCTGAAGCATTTAGACCAGCCTTGATTTAATAATGATGACTCATTAGCTGTACCCACACCTTATGTCCAGATATAGCACAATTGCATTAGTTTAACTTCTGTCTACCTCTGTAGAGTAGCAGCTATGTGTGTCTACATGATAGACATGAAGACTAGATACACTTCCTTTTTTACTCAACAAGCAAACATGATGAATTTAAGAGGAGATTTATCTTATGAAGTACAATTACAAGATATGTAAAATGAAATCACCTTTAAAATAACTGATTTTCTAACACTGTCATCATTTAGTCATCCCCCAAATGACACAGGATATAGACATTGATCAAACCTGTGGAGAGACAACTTGACTGCAATCATTTATATGTGCCAGCTGATGACACCATCCAATGTGCACACAGACAACTTGAGTGAGAAGGAAGGAAGAAAATATTGCTATTGACATTTACAGAGAAAAATAGAATCCTGCCTGTGGAGCAGAATATGTTTAGCCCTCATCTGAAACATTCAGCTAACACCAAGCAGATGAAAAGCTGAAATTCCATTATAAGAAAAGGTATCTTTATTAAATAAAAAAAAAATAGCATGTGCAGAGCTGTGGGTTTTTTATATAATTAAAAACAACAGCTAAGATTTAGCAGCCTCAAAGAAGTAGAAAGAGACTCAATTTTCCTTAAGATACATCACTTGGATCATTATCAAACCCAAACATGATTATCTTGGTTGTGTTAAAATCCACCCCTTCTCCAGCATAGATGAGTGAGAATGGGCATAAAATCATTACAAAGAGGAAATGCTGCATTTCTTTTTCTAGAAAATAGGTGAGAAGTGGCCATTCCCCTTGCTACTATGCAACTTTAAAAAGCTGTGCTACTTAATTTTTTTGCAAGGAATAGCCTGGGTTGCAGAGATTACTTGATTTCATTAAATTAGGTCCAGCTTAAATTCCAAATTTCCATCTATAGTCAATGACAGGAGAAGATACATCCAGTCAAACACTGCTTACTCCTTAAAGATAATTGGCATCAAGTAGCCCTCCAATAAATGAGGCTGAAAAAAATCACAGTAGGTTAAATAAGGTTGCAGGGCCACTCAGTTCCTGGGGTCATCAGCACTACCAGCTCTAAGAATTCTGTTGATTTTTCCATTGCCTGTGCCAAGTCCTTGCTACACTTTCTCAGGGTGGTAACAATCTGTTCATGTTTCTTATAGCACAGGAATCAAACATCTAAAAGGTGTCTGGAGACAAAGTCAAAGTCCTTGAAGACAGTCTGCTCCTTACGGGTTAGGAGAGCAGCCTCCTCAGGAGGAGTAACGATTGGCTTTTGTGATGTAAACTCTTCATCAAAGTTGCTGACATCAGTGGGATCTCTGATCCTGGGCACAAAAGGGGGCTTCAGAGTCCTGGCAAACAAGGCATGCCAGTCAATTTCCTGTAAGAGAAGGAAGCAAACAGGACAGAGTGACATTAAGATTATTTATGAAACGTGAAAGTAAGAGGGAGGATTGCAGCCTCCCAGATAATTTGCAACGTGTCTTATTTCTATTAATTAAAAAAAAAGAGAGTTGAAAATGCAAACAACCCCCAAACCAAAGAGCACAGCTGGCACAGGCCAGGTAGGACACACTCCACATAGTCTAGGGCAGTTCTTTAGAACACCAAGAAACAAGGCTACAGCTCAAACTATTTAGGGAGGACTACAAGGCTAACAACTACTGAAAGATGGATAACGACAAGGAGGAAAGGTAACACCTTTGCCTGGAACAGACCTACACCCTTGACCCAAAGCAAATATGTCTTTAACCTGAATTTCTCTTAGGATTCATGTTTATCCTGCAAATGCAGATGCCATCAAATAGACTGACTGGCAGTTACTGCCATCACTGGACAGCATCTTTGATTGCTGAAGTTTGATTTAAAAAGGGGTATTTGTTGATGGCTCAAAAGGTAGGTGTATTTGTACATAGAAGCAGCCCTTGGGGGATATAATGTCAAACATGAATTCAAACACACATTTCTGAAAAGTGCAACAGAAGCTGCCGCTAAGATCTCACAGAAATATTCCTAAACACCAGCAGAGAGCAAATCACACTCAGGTCAAACACAAGAGATGAGGGGGAGGGATAACACGAGGTCCTACCTTAAAAAAGGGCTGGATTTTAATCTCTCCTGCATCTTTTTCCCCTGCTCCCAGTCTACGCTCTGGACATTTCCGAAGAAGCTACAGGAAATATTAGTTCAAAATTAAACAACTGGAACAAGGATGGACAAAAAACAATGTTCCAGACAGAAAAATAAAAGGAAGGAGATGGACTGACCTCTCAGGATTTTCTCATTCTCACTTTGCAGCAAGGTCATAATCTGCTGGTAATAGCTGAGACCAAGTTCCTTGTAAACAACTTGTCAGCATCAATAAGATACCAGCTATAAATTAACTGCATGAAGTGTCTCATCTTAATTGTGCTCCTGTGACTACTGGGTTATATTCAAACACTGAATCCAGCCATCTCCACTGAATGACTTTGACATTCCTGCCCTTGAAGCAACCCTTCTTCATTTCAGACTTAGCATCAGCAGACCTCAGTAAGCAGCCTGCTTAGTCATCCTTAGAAGGACAGCGTTTATGTAAAGAGAGGAAAAATATGTGTACATTTTAAATGTTTAAATTTAAATGTTTCCTTAGTCTGTGTAGGCAGCTCCAGATTACACACACAAATGGTATCTGGTCCTAACAGAGTCCCTCTGGATCCACTTGCACAGTAAATCCAAATTCCTCAGGTTCCCAGAGACCCCTCAAGCCCATTACCTTACGGATTATAGAAAGTGCCTCAGCTGAAAGGAATCGTGGATACCGGACTTCATCGTTGACGATGCTATCAAAGACTTCTTCCTCGTCATCTCCAGGGAATGGTGACTGTAATTGGGATGTTATTATTTCATCCACAAAGC